GTTACTATATATATATATATATATCCTCATCTGAGTTGTATGCTAGTGTTTTGATTTCTGTCTCTACAATAATACACAAAATATATTGTATTTGTTAAATAAAACTAGTTCGTAACACTTATTTTGCAGTAGAATACAATATATGGATAGTGTATAGTATATGGGGTGTATTTGTGCACGATGTGCATCAATCGCTTTAGAAATAATATCGAGTGAGGCTTCAGTTGTTAGTGCTTTATACAACTGTACTTTCATAAGTTCATCTCGCTATATATATATATATATATGGCCACATTATTTACCCTTTTCAGTTTTTATTTTACTTTCAACACGTCTCATAATAGTAGATCCACCGATTTTTATATTTTCTTACATATATTCTTCTCCGTAAATCTACAAAAAAAAAAGAAAAAAAAAAAAGAGGAAGAATAAGGAAATTTCTCCATAATCAACGGCGAAAAGATGATGATGAGATGATAAGTACTTTGTAGGAGTTACTTTTTTTTTTTTTTTTTTTTTTTGTCGTCTGCACATATATAATTTTTGCCTTCACACTCTTGCATGATGATGAATGCATATGAACGAGCGTTCTAAATATTCCTATAGACACATATATCTACCAGAAAATTCCGATGAAGTAAAGAAGTAAAGCTTTTTTTCGATTAATTAGGCACGAGTGATTTACACTTTCCTGTTCATTATTTCAGTGATTATGACAAAACATTATTCCAAAGTTTACAAATTATCGTGTACTAGATGATGTAGTGGGCAAATTTTATATATCTTACACACACGCGTACGTATGAAATCGGTGTAAAGTCAAAGTTGGACCCGCTTTGGTTCTCTCTACATCACAAATCTGAATATAAATTTCATGAAATTATATTTATGTTTGCATCCTTTTTTACCTACCAATCCTACTTTTTTGAGTTTTTTTTTTATCATCCTTTTATTTTAAATATTCTTTCGTAATAAATAAATCTATGTAAGAAAAAGCGAATTTATTACAAGCTGGCAAGTACACCAAAAATATCTCTACAGAAATATATTTCTATCAACCCATAACTCACCAATACAATTAGCTTTTACCAACGAACCTTTAATATATATTCGTAAATTTAAAGACTGATAGTTTTTTTATGGATAAAGATGATGAATTATTATTTATTTTTATTTTTAAATATGACTTATACTATGAACTAGCAATTCTCCTAATTAATCATTTAATTAGAAACCATAAGAAAAAAAAACATTATACTAAAAGAGTTTAACACTGGAAAGTTAATAATTTATCATTTTCTACTTAGCTGCAAACTTTGTTTTATGTTTTGGTTTCAGCTAATTTTACAAATCTCAACCTTTTCTTACTGTTAAAGATAATTTAAAGCAGTAAAAAGATATTACAGTATTTTTTATACAACATTTTTTATTTTTCTAATAAAAAAAATTGAGAAACTAAATATTGGAACGTACCTAGTACTAATAATAATTTTGTATAAAAGAAAAACAAGTATAATTTAATAATAAGAAAAAAGACATAAAAAGGATCTTGTTTCTTGTTTTCCCCCTTCCCATGTGATGTGAACAATCTCACTCTCTTTCTCTATCTCTCTTTTGTTGTGTTTTGTAACTCATTATATAACAAATCAGTCCAAGCCACCTCTTTTCCCCACAGCCAATCTCGCTCTCTCTCTTCTCTCACCAAAACAGAGAATCTCTCAATCTCAGATCGAAGAATGGGTTTCACTTCCCGAGGAAACCCTTCTTTCTTCTTCTTCTTCTTCTTCTTCTTACTCTGTCTCTCCACCACAGTCTCTGCTTACATCATCAACAACAACAACACAAGCAGCAGCAGCAACGTTAATGGAGAAGAAGAAGTAGAAACAGTGAGAAGAGAGCTAGCTTCTGGGAGATGCAACTGGTTTAGAGGGAACTGGGTTTATGATGCGAAGTACCCACTTTATGATCCTTACAAGTGTCCATTCATAGATCCACAGTTCAACTGTAAGAAGTATGGTCGTCCTGACAATGCTTATCTTAAGTTTCGGTGGCAACCATCTTCTTGCTCTCTCCCCAGGTTCTTCTTCTTCCTCTCTCCTTATCTTCTTCTTACATTCTTTAATTCTGGCTTTTCTTGATTCAAGAAGATCAATGCTTTTTTCCGTGTGTTTGTTTGCCTTTTCTTCATTTATCAGACTGAAAAGTTTGATTTTTTTTCTTTTCTTTTGTTCTCTGTTCTATTGGTATTGTGAATCAAAATCTGTTTTTTTTTTTCCTTTTTCTTATAATGCCATTAATAAATATGGAAAGCTGGAAATTTGAATAGTTATGTTTGTTGGGTTTAATGCTGTTTGCAGAGATATTTAAGCATATTGGTAAGAAAGGTAACTTAAAAGCTTTTCAATTGAATTTCAAAGTTTATAGATATTTTCAGTAGTAATAGTAGTAGTGAGTAGTATTCTCTCTCTTATCTTCTCTTTTGCTTGCCTTTTTGGATTTGAAAATTTGAAACTTTTCTGTTGAGTGTTTGCTTTGGAGCAATAATGTCTTGGAAATCCCATAATTTCACTCTTCAAAAAGGTTTAAAATCGAATCCGAAGCTCGAACCAAAGTGTCCTTGACTTGGTAAATAAAGACTTCAACAAGTTTTTAACCTTTTTTTTTTTGTAGAAGTAACGCTTGAAAACCAGCTGGACATGTTTTTTTTTTAATATTAATATTATTTTCTTGCGGATCTAGAATTGAGATTAAAAAAAAAATGTTTATTTGCAATGGTTTGTCAGATTCAATGGGTTGTATTTCTTGAGGAAGATGAGAGGGAAGAAGATAATGTTCGTAGGAGATTCACTGAGCACAAACATGTGGCAATCTCTTGCTTGTCTGATTCATTCTTGGGTTCCTAACGCTCGTTACACTCTTCTTCGCCAAAAGGGTCTTGCTTCACTCACCTTCGAGGTATATATTTATTATTCGGTTCTACTATAGCATAAACTAGATATTTAGTTGAGTTATTATGAGATTTTTAACACTGTAGTAGCTTTTTAATTAGTGTGGAAAGTGTGGTGAAAAGTCTTTATTTATCCCTTTTGTTAACGCTTAAATGATTGTTAAATAGGGATAAAGTGTCTTTTGGTTTGTCTCATTTGATTTGATGTAAAGATAATGGGCTATATACGTAGTAATTTTAGGACAAGAGAATGAGAGAGAGAGAGCATTTAAGAGATGAACGTGATTAGTGGCCTATTTCCCAAAAAAGAAGAATCTCCCGGAGTATCATGTCCATGTTTTATAATCTTTATGATCACGAGCCACGCAAACAAAAGAGATTCGCTTTTTTTCTTTAATTTTCCCATGATATTAAAGCACATGGCCAGTTACATTTTACACATGTACATGATTAAAATTGTGTATACTCGAGTATCTAGTGAACTAAATTTGTGTTTTGTAATGGGTACTTACACAGGACTACGGAGTGACGTTGATGCTTTACAGAACCCAATTCTTAGTAGATTTAAATGTGGAGAAAGTTGGGAGAGTGCTTAAACTAAACTCCATTAAGCAAGGCAACATGTGGAGAGGCATGGACGTTTTGATTTTCAACTCGTGGCATTGGTGGACTCACACCGAGCACATCCAGCCGTATGTGTTTTTTTTTTACTTTGGCTCTGTCTTTTTTTCTTTTGGTTTTGACTTTTGGCAAATCTGATGACGTGTGGATGTTTTTTGCAGGTGGGATTACATGGAAGATGGGAATAGATTGTATAAAGACATGAACCGGCTCATTGCTTTCTACAAAGGCATGACCACTTGGGCTCGATGGGTTAATACTTACGTCGATCCTTCCAAGACCAAAGTCTTCTTCAACGGCGTGTCTCCAACTCATTACGAGTAAATATACTTCCATCAATCTAAATCTTATTGTTCTATAAATCGGTTTAGTTATATCAAATTGAGCATGGCCTACGGTGTTTATGTTACTCCTTAAATTACTAGGCATTACTTTACTTACATAATCCTTAAACACTATCCAGACATTAATTACTTAATTAGGGGTATTTAGATATCAATAACCAACATTTTAGTATCCTATAGATAGTTATAATTAAGGTTTGTTGGATATGATTTTGCAGGGGAAAGGATTGGGGGGAGCCAATGAACTCATGTAGGAGTCAGACGCAGCCATTCTACGGGAGGAGGTATCCAGGAGGGATGCCAATGGCTTGGGTGGTTCTAAACAAAGTGATGAGGAGATTGAGGAAACCGGTCCATTGGCTCGATATAACCGGTCTCTCTCAGCTTCGTAAAGATGCTCATCCTTCTGCTTTCAGTGGGAACCATCCTGGTAATGACTGTAGCCATTGGTGTCTTCCTGGTTTGCCTGATACTTGGAACGTGCTCTTTTACTCTACTCTTTTCTCTTCCTAAATAATTCTTGTTTTCTTTTTTCTTGTCGATGTATAAGTTTTAACTTAAAAAGAAATAACAACAATCAATTATTTTTAGTTATCTTTTCTTTGTGCTCTCCTGATTCTTGACTGTGTGAGATAAGAAAACATCTCAAGAAAATCATATACAAACAAAAGTATACAATCGAAGAATAGTTGATAGTTGATACTGATAATGAGCTAAAGAAATTAGAGCTTTAATTGGGCCTGATAATAGAAATAAATGGGCCTGAAGAAGCTCAGATGTGATGTCGAAGTTGAGATAAAATCAGCGGGAGGCAAAACTTAAACTCAAAACTAAAAACTCAAAAGTGCTCTGGAAAGTCTCCACGTGTACATGTACGGAAAGATACGTGGAGGAAACTAAGATTATTTATTGGCTCGATAACATTGAAACTGATCACTTCCAAGAAGGTGAGTCACGGTGCCTCTCTACACGTTTCAATAGTAGACTCAACACGTCACACACTTTTCCCCAATCCACATGACCGCCCAAACTTTGTCTTTTCGGTTCTTTGATTATAAAGCAGGAAATGAAACAGCTCGATAAGAATCATCCGAGATAAAGAATAACAAAAATAAAGAATTATCCAGTTTTCATCTTGAAAGTTAAAGTTGTTTCTTGTAAGTGATTTGTAAGCTTTAGAATGGCGTCAGAGCAAGCAAGGAGGGATAACAAGGTGACGGAGAGAGAAGTTAAGGTGGAGAAAGACAGAGTCCCGAAGATGACGAGTCATTTCGAGTCCATGGCCGATAAAGGCAAAGACTCCGAGATGCAGAGGCATCAAACAGAAGGTGGTGACACACAGTTCGTGTCGCTCTCAGACAAAGGGAGTAACATGCCGGTTTCTGATGAAGGAGAAGGGGAGACAAAGATGAAGAGGACTCAGATGCCTCACTCCGTTGGAAAATTCGTGATGAGCAGCGAATCTGGGACGGGGAAGACGAAGGATGAGAAAAAGGAGCATGAGAAGGCTTCGCTAGAGGATATTCGTGGATATAGAGCCAATGCTCAGCAGAAGTCGATGGATACGATACGAGCAGCAGAGGAACGCTATAACAAGGCCAAGGAGGGTTTGAGTCATGGTGGGCAAGAAGCTCGTGGCAGAGGAGGTGATGAAAAGGAGGGACAATTAGGCCGGGACAGTGGTGTCCATGTTTCTCACTTTAAGGGTGTTGGTAGTGGCGAAGGAGCTGCTGCTGTCTTCGGCCATGAAGCTCGTGGCAGAGAAGGAGGAGAAAGAGAGGGTGGTGTCCATGGTTTTCACGGGGAGAAAGCACGCCATGCTGATGTTTTGGCTGCCGGAGGTCAAGAGATGAGAGAGCGTGAAGGTCAAGAATCAGCCGGTGGTGGTGGCCGGAGTGCAACACATACAGTGACTGAGAAAGGAAGGCAAGCTAAGGAAAGTGTTGGACAAGGTGCTCAGAAAGCGGGAAGCGCTGCAAGTGAGAAAACTCAGAGAGCTTCCGATTACGTGACAGAGAAGGGAAGGGAAACTGGACAAGTGGCGGCTCAGAAAGGACAGGAGGCAAAGGAACAAGCTATGAGAGCTAAAGATTACAGTATGGAGAAAGCTGGAGAAGCCAAAGACACGGCAGCCGAGAAAGCTAAGAGAGCTTCCGAGTATGCGATGGAAAAAGGAAGGGAAACGGGAAACACTGCCGCTGAACAGGCGGCGAGAGCGAAAGACTACACACTGCAGAAAGCACTTGAAGCAAAAGAGATTGCGGCTGAGAAAGCTCAAAGAGCTTCCGAGTATGTGACCGAAAAAGGAAAAGTAGCCGGAAACGTTGCATCTCAGAAAGGACAAGAGGCAGCTTCAATGACAGCAAAAGCAAAGGATTACACTGTTCAGAAAGCAGGTGAAGCGGCTGGGTACGTTAAAGAAGCTACGGTGGAAGGAGGAAAAGGAGCGGCACATTACGCCGGAGTTGCAGCTGAGAAAGCGGCGACGGCTGGGTGGACAGCGGCACATTTCACTACAGAGAAAGTGGTGCAAGGGACGAAAGCGGTTGCTGGTACAGTGGAAGGAGCGGTGGGGTACGCAGGGCATAAGGCGGTGGAAGTAGGATCTAAGGCGGTGGAGTTGACTAAGGAAAAAGCTGCGGTGGCTGCTGATACGGTGGTTGGGTATACGGCTAGGAAGAAAGAAGAAGCTCAACACAGAGACCAAGAAATGTACCAGGTATTGCACAAATTATAGTCAAGCTCAATATTTTTTTAACTCATTCCAGTGTGATGATGTTACGTGGATCTCAAGAAACTGTGTGTTTGAATTTGTTTTGAGGGAGGTGAGGAAGAGAAGCGCCCAGGGTTTGTCACAGAAGAAAGGAGAGGCTTTGGAGAAGAGTATGGAGAACAACGAGGGAGTGAGAAAGATGTCTACGGGTATGGAGCAAAAGGAATGTCCGGAGAAGCGAGGAGAGATGTTGGGGAGGAGTATGGAGGAGAAAGAGGGAGTGAGAAAGATGTCTTCGGATATGGAACAAAAGGAATGGTCGGAGAGGAATACGGAGGAGGAAGAGGCAATGAGAGATATGTCCAAGAAGAAGGTGTTGGAGCGGGAGGAGTGCTTGGGGCAATCGGCGAGACTATAGCTGAGATTGCGCAGACGACGAAGAACATAGTGATTGGTGATGAGCCTGGGAGGACACATGAACGTGGAACTACTGATCCTGAGTATATGAGACAACAACATGGACAACGTTGATGAAGAAATGTTTTTGGGTTTCTTTTTGCTTTTCTTAAAAGGGTCTTTTGTTTTTTTTTTTGTATGTTAATAAATCTCTGTTTCAAAGAGTTTTATGGTAAATAACAAAAACCTCTGTTTCTGTTTAAAGGTTTGAAGAATATATCAGTGGTTGGTTCCTTTTTAGTGTAAAAACTATACTAAGCTTGATATACTCTTGAAAACTAAAGTTGGTGGATTTTAATGTTAATCTTTTTCGCAATCTGCAAGTGTATTAGCAAAATAGATGCGAAAACGGTTATAGTAATGAGATTTATTGTATGACCTCCGACTTCTCGACATCTCATGTGACTACTTATACTATATGCCATATAGTGAAGAGTCCTAATTTTTTATTTCGTCAGACTTGGACACACTTTGGATTGCAAATCTAACATAGAGCAAAGCACAGGAAATATATAATGTGGATATGTAAAGTACCTCAAAGAAATTATTCAAGCAAAAGTGTATGTAATTGTTGATGTTGTTACAAACATTAAGAACTGAGACGATGTACATTTGGTATTGATATGTATATTGAGCTACAGTTCTAAAACCAAGTAACAGAGATGCCTTCAACACGCTATTAAACATGAATAAAACTAGAAGCTGGAGTCTTGGGAGGCATAATCTTCACCTTCAGGGGTTTAAACTGTGGGGGCTTTGGTGGAATAATCTTTAACTTCATGGCCTTTTTAGAAGTATCCGTAGACTTCTTCGGAGCTCTTCTAATCTTCAACTTCAGTGGCGGCAGTGAGAAGCCGGAAATCACATTCTCCATCTTCTGTTCACCACGCAAGAACGGATGCAACAATAAATCATAAGCGCTACCTCTCTCCTTAGGGTTCCTTGCGAAACACGTTTCTAGAAACTTCCTTGCATGACAGGGTACACTCTCTGGTATCTCAGGCGCTTTCCAATCCAATAGAAGAGACGCAAGATCATCAAAATCAACATCCGACCATGGACTCACACCGGTAAACATCTCCAATACTATGCACCCTAACGACCACAAATCTAGGGCTTTCTCAGCCACGCCGCTGTGGACTGATTCTGGCGACATGTAGATAGGCGTTCCAACAAACGGTGAATCAACTTCCCAACAATCCGCATGTTCTCCGACTTTTCTCGAAGACCCGAAATCTGAGATCTTCAATTCGTAAGACTGTCTACATGGGAAGACAAGGAGATTATCGGGTTTTAGATCGCAATGAACATAACCGTGGCTGTGAACAGAGACCAATCCTTGGAGAATCATACGAGCGAAGTCTTTGATCATGGTTTCCGGCAATCTTCTATCTTTGTAACTGTCCATGAGCGATGTTAAGTTCCCTTCTGCTGCGTACTCCATGAAAATCTTGTAGACTCGGAACCCCTCGTCATCAAAGTCCTCCTCTAACTTATAATTCCCATAGCACTGCACGATGCTTCGACATCCCTTGAGTTTGGATAGAATATGAATCTCTCTTCGGAGAGAGTCGTAGTCTTCACATTCAGATGTTTTCACGGCTGCGTAAACAGGACACGAGCCGTCGTTTTCGATGTACTTGACAAGATCGACTGATCCGTACGAGCCTTTTCCTAAGAACTTCACGAAATCTGTCTTTGGTTGCATCTTCGGAATAACAAGAAGAGTTATGCTTCGTACCTCTAAAGGTTTTTTTTTTTTGTAACTTTGAGCTGAAATTTAAAACCCTAGAGAAGATCAAATCACTTGAGAAATTGCAGAGAGAGAGAGAGAGAGAGAGAGAGAGAGAGAGAGAGAGAGAGAGAGG